TAACAACAACATATTTATGATGAACCATCATAAAATGTCCTTTCTTAGGCCTTTAAAATATCCCCAGAATAATTACACCAAAGCATTGATTAATTGAAGAAGTGCTTGTGAGTAAAGAAGTCTCAAAAAATATCTAGTCAAATAACTATTAATAGTTTAATGACTTTTCCCCCTTCTTCATCTCAGTGACGTTTATAGTTTCAAGGGCAATACATTTTTCCACCTTTATTGAAAATACTCGTTTTCTTGGCCATAAAATGATGTTTGTTCTTTATTACTCTTGTACTACTTACAGTTCATTTTTGAGCCTTTTCCTTGAAGTTTACCTGTTTCCCTTGTCTGATGATTGTAAATTGCTTAGGTAAACTGCCCTATAAACAACAAACTTGAACCCTCTCCCATCCTGTGTCATCCATCTCATCTCTGACACACTCGAGCCCGTTGCTGCAGTCATTGTGCCAGTCCATCTCTTCAGGGGCCATACTCTCTTTCACTGATCCTCTATCTTCTAAGCATGATGTCCCTTTCCAAGGAATAGCCTCTCGTAGCAACATGTCCAAAGAGTGAGAGATGGAGCTTTGTCATCTTTACCTCCAAAGATCACTCCAGCTGCACTTTTTCTATTTATTATCTGTTTGTGTTGATAGTCCATGGGATATTCAGCACTCTTCCAGCACCACAACTCAAAAGCATTAATTATTCTTCTGTTGTTATTCATTGTCCAGCTCTCAGATGCATAGCAGGCAATTGAAAAGACCATGGCCTTTGACTGTGTGTGGATTGTAACAAACTGTCCTGTCTTCAAAACCTTTCAACCTGTATGCAGAACAGATTATCCGGGGGTCTGGGCTCTATGAGGAGAAATGTGGGGTCAAGATTGGTGGAAGATCTATCAACAATGTGCAATATGCAGATACAAACCTGCTTGCTGAAACTGAGGAGGACCAGAAGCGCTTGCTGCAGAGGGTCAAGGACTGCAGCCCCCAATATGGATTGAGGCTCAATGTCAAGAAGACAAAGATTCTCACCACTGGGCCAATTGGCAGCATCAGGATGGATGGTGAAGAAGCTGAGATTGTTCACAGCTTCAGTTTGCTTGGCTCCATGGTCAACACTCTTGGCACCAGCAGCCAGGAAATTAGAAGACGTATTGCCATTGGAAAGTCTGCTGTTAGGGACCTCTCCAAAGTACTGAAGAGCAGTGGTGTCTCTTTGGATACTAAGGTGTATCTGATACGGGCCATGGTCTTTGCAATCACTTGTTATGCATCAGAGAGTTGGACAATAACTAGGGATGATAAAAAGGAGAATTGATGCCTTTGAGCTGTGGTGCTGGAGAAGAGTATTGAGGGTACCATGAAATGCTAGGAAAACAAACAGATTCTTCCTGGAAAGGGTCAAACTGGGCTGCTCCTTGGAGGCAAGGATTCTAAGGCTCCGTCTAACATACTTTGGACACGCTGCAAGGAGGGACAGGTCCTTGGAGAGGGACATCATGCTTGGTAGGATGGAGGGACAGCGCAGAAGGGGAAGGCTCTCTATGAGGGGGATTGGTTTAGTGACCGGGGTAATCGGGATGGGTGTATCGGAGACGGTGCGATTGGCACAGGACAGAACAGAGTTTAGGGATGTTGTACAAAGGGTCGCTGTGAGTCGCAAGCAGCTCGACGGCACATAACAACAGCTTTCACATGCTTGTGAGGTAAATGAAAAGAACATAGCGAGGACATAAAACCCCAGTCCTAACAGTGACACCTTTGACTTGAAGAAATCTTTGCAGCATATTTGCAATATGTTATTGTTGTTAGGTACCATAATGTCAATACCAACTCATAGCTGCCCCTCATGTGGGTTTTCAGAGGCAATAAATTTCACAGGAGGAAACTGCCTAACTTTTCTCTGCAAAACACCTGGTGCCTGTGGGTTAATAGTGCAACTCCTTACCATTAAGCCACCAGAGCTCTACATAGTATGCTCAAGTCACTGAATTTTGCTTTTATGGACATTGTTCGTACAAGTAGAATGAAGTCAGTCCTTTTCAATTTTTTTTTATTTGCCATTTATCATGATTCTGTTTATTGGTCAATTTATCAGCACTTTAGTATTCTTCATGTTCAGGCATAATTGATACTGAAGTCTGTAGACAGTTTTCATTTTTGACAACCACAGTTGTCATTTGCATATTAATGAGTTACCAATGTTAACTATAAGTTTTTAATTTTGATTCTGCATTCTTAGCATTTTGTTGAAAACTGAGTATTTTGAATAGTATGATCACTCTGAAAATTAGATTATTTCTCCTCCCAGATCAGTTTGCATAGTTTCCTGCAGGCTGTATTATTCGAGTCACTTTTGTATTTTTGTAAAGTGTAAATTTTGTCACATGCGGTCTCTGAAGTCTCTGGCCCTACAGCTTGATCCAGTGTCTTGAGAGAGATTTCCCTGAATGCCAGGAGCTGTCTCCTATAACCCCCTGTGAAATTAAAATACAGAAACCACCTTCTCCGTCTTTGCAGCTTGGCTATGTTGAGGCATTTATTCGTAGCCAGGCTGCCTACAACTATGTTAGCTGAACCTAGATAGAGATCAGCAAGAGATAAAAGTGTTGGATCTTCTCAGGTCTTTTTTGAACAGGTGTCCTGCCTAGGACATACTCATGGCTTTATTGTACATATGCTCGAAACTCTCCTTAGCTTTTCGTTCCAAGATCTCAGTATTATATTGGTGGCCCCAACTGTAATATTTTGTATTAAGTAGCAGCAGAGACTAATGAATTACATAAAAGCATCTATAATTGTTATTTTTTAGAGGCAGGAGTGGCATCCACTTCCTAAAAACATGCCTCTGGAAACTCTATGAACTTTGATAAATGACGATAGTTATAGAAAGGCTTTAGGCCTTTTGTTCATAGGGTCACTGTGAGTTGTTCTCAATGACAGTCAACAATAACAATAACAATAACTCTATTGTGTTCTGTTGTACATAGGGTTATAGATCTTAGCTGAACTCAGAGAGTACAGAGGATTTTCAATCTGTTTTGCATTGACTATGCAAAGGCATTTGACTGTGTGGATCACAACAAACTGTGGCTGACTCTGAGAAGAGTCAGAATCCCAGAAGACTTGATTGTGCTTATGTGAAACCTATACTTCGCTATGAGTCATAAGCAACTCGATGGCACATAACAACAATATACTTGGAACAGGAAGCAGTCATTTGAACAAAGCAAGAGAACACTGAATGGTTCAAAATCAGCAAAGGTGTATTCCAGAGTACTGAAGAACAATGATGTTAATCTAGAATTGAAGGTGTGCCTGATCCAGGCTATGGTCTTCACAATTAACTTGCTATGCATTTGAGAGCTGACCAATAACTAAGGATGACAGAAGAGGGATCATTGCCTTTGAGTTGTGGTCTTGGGGAAGAGTGTGTTGAATATACCATGTATGGCTAGAACATAGGGTGAATCAGGCTGCTCCTTGGAGGCAAGGATTTTTAAGTTCTATCTGACATACTTTGGACATGTTGCTCAGAGGGGCCAGTCCTTGAAGGAGGATATCATGCTTTGAAGGGTGGAGAGACAGTGCAAGAGAGGAAGACCCTCTATGAGGTGGATTGATTCAGTGACTGGAGTCATGGGGGTGGGCATGTCAAGATAGAGCAGGGTTCAGAGCTGTTGTACATAGGGTCACTATGAGTCACAAATTACTAGCGTGCACATAACTATGACATCTATTGGAGAGGGAACTTTGGTGACCCCAGTGGCAGGGAATTGCTCTGCCAAACGAGAGTTACAAAATTTCAAGACCACCAGTGGCTCTGAGGGAGAAAGATGAACAATCTCCTGTATAATTTACATCTTCTGAAAACCTGCAAGAGGACCAGATAGGAATTGATTCAACTTGACAACAAAGAGTGAGAGATCTATTGGTGGGGATGTAAAATAGTACAACCATTGTAGAAAAGAGGTTGGCAGTCATCAGTTAAACAGAATTATTATCTAATAATTCAACATCTAAGCATTATAAAAATCTTAGAACAAGTATTCAGACCAGTGCTTGTGCACAAATAATTCATAGCACTGTTCACAATAAACAAATGTTGGAAACCCAAATGTCAATAATAGAGATCGGAATTAGGATTCCAGTGCATCTTTTGGGGGTACACAATTAAATACTAAGTAATAATAATGCTCTGCCATAAAAAGAAATGGACTGATAAACATTATAATGTAGATGAACCTTTAAAACATTCTGCTAATTGAAAGCACACAGTCCAAAAAGATCGCATATTATATTCACTGTGCAGCCTTTAATCTGTCCTAGAAATTTATAGCTGCAAAAATATGCATGCACAGTACTATATTAACTATTAAATATGTTAAGTGCCATTGAGACTAGCATGACTCATAGCAACCCTAGGAACAAAAGATCTAAACCTTGTTCTATAACTGTACCTGTGGACCATATACTAGTAATGTTAAATCTTATCCAGATGGACTTCCTGTCAATTTGGAGACAATATAGTAAGACACGAGAAATAGCTATAATAAAGAGAAGATCAAATATGAAATATATAATGATCCTCCTGGGATCCTAGGATATATGTTGAGTATGTGCCAGGATCACAAACATATATTTTGGAGAGGGTGCAGCCAGAGTGCTCTTTGGAGGCAAGAATGCTGAGTCTTCCCCTCACATACTTTGGGCATGTTGCTAGGAGGTGCTATTCCTTGGAGAGGAACATGATGCTGGGAAATGTGGAGGGTCATTGGAAGAGAGGAAGACCCTCAACCAGGTGGATTGAAATGATGACTGCTGTAATGGGCTCTTGTGTGTGTGAGGATGGTACAGGATAGAACAGAATTCAGATATTTTGTTCATTGTGTTGCTGTGAGTCATACACAACGGTACCTAACAACAATAGATAATTATAAACCCTATAACATTTATAGTTTTATACTTAGTATATAAAACTAATTGCCCTCAAGTCAAAACCAACTCACACTGACCCTTCAGTGAGTTTTCAGAGACTGTCATTTCAGGAAAGGAGATTGCCACCTTCCTAAAGAGGATCAGGCAATTCAAACTGCCTGTCTTTGGGTTGATAGCACAACTGCTTACTCACTGGCCACTAGTGCTCCCTATACCTAAAATTACATTTTCATTATTTTTACATACTGTGTGAGTGAGTGAGTGAGTGAGTGAGTGAGTGAGTGAGTGAATGAGAGAGAGAAAATAAGTGGAATTAGAAAGGCCTATCTTTTTTTTTTCCTTAAGCTTTATTTTTTTTAAATAATTTTAATGAGCATTTACAGAGATTTTGGATTTCCATTCATTCATTGCTGCACTTCTCCCCCCAGTTCGCTCTTCTCTTTCAAAAGTAAAAGAAACACTCCCTCCCTGGGACACAATCCCCCCACATCCCTCCCGCCGCCCCAAGTACATTCCACTATGCAACCTAATTGTGGACTCTTAAAAAAAAAAGGCCTTTCTAATTCCACTTATTTTCTTGTATCTTCTACATGCATTCAAATTTGCAATCAAAAGAACTTTTATAAAGTCCTGAATTCTGCTTGTTTAAGACATTCCTCTTCCTGCTTTATGAAATATTCTTTTGAATTATTTGCATGTGGTCCCTCTGAGGGATCAGTCCTCAGAGAAGGACATCATACTTGGAAAGGTGGAGGGATGGCGCAGGAGAGGAAGACCCCAGATGAGATGGATTGATACAGTAACGGGGGTAAAAGGGGTAGATGTGTCAGAGATGGTGAGATTAGCTCAGGATAGGACAGGATTCAGAGCTATTGCACATAGGGCTGCTATGGGTTACAAGCAGCTTGATGGCACATAACAACAATTACTAGGAACTACGGGACAGAAATCTATACTTCTGTTTTTCCCCAGCTAGAAATGTTAATGATATAAATATCAATATAGAGTTCATTTGTTGTCCAACTTGTTGAACAGACCAAGAAGTCATGCAAACACAATTTCAATGTTGAAAAAAATTCTTTGGAATATTTATTTAAATATTCTTTCTAGCATTAAGAATAAGGATAAATTGATTGTTAATATCATTAAAAATTAAAGACCATTTCTATAATTTCAAATATGACCAAAGCACACGCGCTAGAAGAAATGATACCCAAACTCTGAGAAAGATCTGCAGCCAAATGAAGTATTTAATAGACACCTTCAGTGGTAGTGATCAGTAAAACGAAAAGCTTTGGCTTCTGACATAGTGTAACTGTTCTGTAACTGTTTGGAACGCTTTGCTTCAAGTCGGAGCTGTCTGCTTCGTTCTTTCAAAGCTTGTTGCTCTGCTAGTTTCTCTATGCGTTTCCTCCTTAGCCATCTGTAAAGAAAGGCATGTTCATGTTTGGTTAGTAACAACTGACTGCACTGTCTGTGCTATAAAGTAATGAAAGAAAATCAGCGTTTCTTTATATTACAGTTCTACAGACATGGAACCAATTATTAAAATATTAACTGAAAAATTTCAGGCTTATATCTTTAAAAATGGAAAAACTTCAGGTTTATACTCTAGAAAATGCAAACATGTCAGGCTTATACATTCGATAACTGAAAAATTTTAGGTTTATACACAAAAAGACATAGCTACATTTGGAATCAAGGTAAATTTGAGGGAACTGCCAACTCTTCTAGCTTTTAAGTATTTCGTTTATTGGGTCAAATGCTCTTTCTGAAGTGCTAATAACCAAGGGTATAATGGCAAAGACTAAAAATAAAAAGTGTGTGCCTGATTGAGTCCATGGTATTTTCAATTGTTTTATATGCATCTGAAAGATGTACAATGAATAAGGGCAGAAGAATAATCAATGCTATTGAATTGTAGTGTTGCTGAAGAATATTGAATATAACATGGACTGCAAACTAACAAAAAATATGTCTTAGAAGATGTTCAGCCAGAATGTTCGTTAAAAATAAGGATGGTGAGAATCCATGTCACATACTTTGGGAATGCTATAAAGAGGAGCCAGTCTCTGAAGAAAGGCATCAACAGTTAAAAAAAGGAGATCCTTAATGAGACAGACGAACAGAGTTGCTGCAACAAAGGACTCAAACACATGAAAATGGTACAGGAACGTTGCATGGTGCCACGTGTCAAAGCTACCAGATGGGCACTTAACAAACACACGCGCCCCCCCACACACACACCCTTCTTAAAATATGGCTGATATGCACAATACAAGTTCCATGTAACTTATTCTTTAAAACTAGCTGTATTCTAAAATATTACTTAAGCAGGCAAGAATACCTACTCTGCTTGGTAGGGCTCTCTGTTGCATAAACTAGTTCTTCATTAAAATGGGAAAATAAGCCTAAAAGCATCAAAAGAAATGAGAGAAAAGTACTTACATGCTAACAAACTCATCTATAAAGCTTGTAACTATAAATACACAAATTTATATTATGTTGTTGTTGTTATGGGCTGTTGAGTCACCTGCGTACAACAGCCCTAAACTCTGCTCTATCCTGTGCCAATCTCATTGTCTCTTACACAACTACCCACATTACCCCAGTCACTGAATCAATCCACCTCATCGAGGGTCTTCCTCTCTTGGGCTGTCCCTCCACCCTCACAGGCATAACAGATAATTAAATGTCTATATTAAAATAAAACAGAAATAAAGATCATAATATTGGGTGATCCTGCAGTGATCTGCATTGGACAAAATTATCTATAAGCCATTTAATGGGCAACTGGGAGAAATATACCTGGATATTAGATGAGGTTATAATAAAAATAAGCAGGGTACAATCAGCATTTATAGTATGATATCAAAACAGACTTTACAGTTAAAAAGAAGTATACAAAGATATATTTAGATAATATGCACTATGGTGCCAATAGCAATAGTTTCCAGATTATGAAAATGAGAGTATTTTCCCTCTATTCTAACAATTTACATTTCAAACTTCAGCATCATGATAGATAGTAAAGAGATTAAGACTGCTAACAGCTTTTGTTTGCTTGGCACCACAATAAACACTCTTGGTACCAGCAGTCAGGAAATTAAAAGACAAATTGCATTGAGAAAGTCTGTTATCAAAGACCTCTCCAAAAGTACTGAAGAGCAATGATGTCAGTACCTGATCCAGGCCATGGTCTTTGCAATTAATTGCTATACATCGGAAAGCTGGACAATGACTAGGGATGATAGAGAACTGATGCCTTTGAGCTGTGGTGCTGGAGTATTGAATATACCATGGATTGCTAGGAGAACAAATAAGTTCATCCTAGAGAGGCTGAAACCAGGCTGTTCCCTGGAGGCAAGAATTCTGAAGCTTCATCTGACATATTTTGGACATGTTGCAAGGAGGGACCAGTCGTTGGTGAGGGACATCATGCTTGGAGGGTAGAGGGACAGCCCAGGAGAAGAAGACTCTCAATGAGAGGGATTGATTTAGTGACTGGGGTAATGGGGATAGGTGTGTCAGAGACATAGAGCAGGGTTTAGGGCTATTTGTGTATAGATAGATAGATAGATAGATAGATAGATAGATAGATAGATAGATAAAATGTGTGTATATATATATGTGTGTGTGTTTGTGTATACACACATGTGAATTTCTGGGATTAGTATTTCATTGTTCTATTATTTTTATTCTTATATCAATGCCATACTATCTTGATTACTATCATTTTAAAATAAGTTTGGAATTAGGTTGTGAATTTTCCAACTCTGTAGGTTCTCACAGATTTAAATAAGCCTGGATTTAATCTTGAAGGGGCACACAAAAAAGATACTATTAAGAAAAAAGTTAACTGATAATGGAACGGTTATGAAGACAAGTTTAGCAATACCTGGCCTTTGCAACTTACTGTTTGAAAGCTCTTTCACGGCCTTCTGTTCCTTTAAGAAAGAACAAGCATTCTTCCTGCCTTCTGAGTTCTTCTGTCCTTCTTTCTTTCATCTGCTCATCATGCTTTTTTTTAAGCCATAACCGAAATGCTAGATGTGGATCTCTGCCTTCCTGCTGATTGGAAAAATATACTTTTAATTTAAGTAAACCCAAATGACTTTTTTTAAACTCTGTTTTCTGGAACTTTCTAAGAATGTGCACATTCCACTGATAAACTTTTTATAATAATGCCAGTCTCATTCCCTGCATAACTAGGACCCAAACAAAATTTCAAACCCTTAAGAACCAGTGAGTAGAGTCTACTCATAATGACCTTCTCAGATAGAGCAAAGGGGTCCCATGGTGGTTTCAAATCTGTGACTCTTTAGACACCAACAGCCCGAGAAAATTACACATTGAATTTACTGTCACCTGGCTCCTCACAAAAGTCACATTGTGGTAACTGACATACACTATATTTATAAGACTAATGCAGTGATGTTTCAAACCTTTTAAAGGCTACGTTGAATAATATCATTTTGCATGATGGTGCAAACACAAAAGAAATGGTTTAAGCACAATTTGGGGAAGGGCATAAATTGGAATTGAGGCTTCTGGAGCAGTTCCTGCTAGAACTCTAAGAAATAAAATTTGAAGATCAATAACTCAACACTTTATTAGTCATCCATTCCTTTAAGTTTTATTTTCCTTTTAAGAGTCTGTCAGCACACTCTTAAAAGTTTTAAAACTTAAATGTTTTATACTTAAAAATTAAACATTTCCAAAAATTGTAACTACCTTCTATAGAGAGTAATCATGAAGATTTTCAGCCTTAAAAAATTTCTCCTAAATAACCTGAGCATCATTTTTAATTCAAAACAAAACAACTAGTTGCTATTATTGTTAAGTGCCATGAGTTGACTACAACTTGCAGTGATGCTGTGAACAACCTGTCTGAAACTTGCCGTATCCTGCATCATTCTTATGATGTCTGATTTGCTCAAGTTAGACACTTTGTCAGTTCATCTTGCTGAGTCTTCCTCTTTTTTCACCAACTTTCAACATTTCCTGGCAGGGTATCTTTTTTCCAAGGACTGGGCTTTCCTGACAATATACCCAGGCAGATGAGATGAAACTTCTCTCTCCTTGCCTCTTCTAAAAGAGACAATTTATTCCGGTGCAAAAAAGCCATTGGAGGATTTTAGCCAGTTCTAACCTGACAGGATGTAACATTTAACAACTAGTAGGAGCAGCTTATTGCATGGTTCCTCAAACTTCATGAAAGACACTAACTTCAGGAATTTTGAAACTTTGCAAAAATTGAAAGAATTCTTATTTGGAGGGATAATAACTTTTTAAAGCACAGTGATAAATTTCTGGCTCTTAAGCACTGGCAAAAATGTGACTTAGGGAGATACCTGGCTACAAAACAAAAAGAAAGACTACACTTACTTAGTTGTATTGTGCTGTCAAGTTGGAATGAACCCATAGCTTACCCTCCAGCTGGTTTTCAGAGGCAATAAGTCACAATGGAGAAGACTGCCCATCCTTTTCCCACATAGATTCACACTGTGTACCTTTGGGTTAATAGTGCAATTCCATACCACTAAGTCACCACTAATCCCCTTTTAATACTTTGCCTAAATACATGCTTTGTAATGGAAAAGAATTTCTGTATCTCTATCTGTGTTTCATTGACTATGCAAAGATGTTAAACTGTGTGGATCATACAAGTTGTGGCTGACTCTGAGAAGAATGGGAATCCCAGAACACCTGACCATGCTAATGCGAAACTTATACTTAGACCTAGAGGCAGTCGTCAGAACACAGTAAGGGAAAACTGCATGGTTCAAAATTGGGAAGGGTGTACGCCAGGGATGTATCCTGTCTCCATATCTTTTCAACCTGTATGCAGAACAGATTATCCAGGAGGCTGGGCTCTATGAGGAGAAGTGTGGCATCAGAATTGGCGGAAGATCTATCAACAGTCTGCGTTATGTAGATGACACAACCCTGCTTGCTGAAACTGA